TTGTTAGGGGTGCCGGGGGGGGGGGCTTAACAGTTCAGAGGGGGTGCTAAAAAACTAAATAAACTGAGTGAAATTAATGAACGCCTAAGCTTAAGATATCTAAATAGCATGCATTTTCAGCCACCTTGTGTTATACAGCAGCTTCGAAAAAGGCACATTTTACATTTTTTCTGTGGTATTAAACTTCTCATATGCCACTGTTATTAGTGATATAACTTCTAATGCCAACTGTCAAATATGACACTTACAAATTAATACAATTATGAAGGCACATAAGTAGGGATTTTTTTTTTCTTTTTTATTGTTTTTTTAATTTATTTATTTATTTTTACACATATCTATTTAGTCATTTTTTCTGACCATCAAGTGTCAGTCACTCTCAATGACAACTGGCAGGAAAACATGGTACATTCTAACCATTTTTGTGATGTGTCGTATCATGTGTCGACGATAGCCAGAGATATTGTCAAAAGCATCAAAAATAGGCAATATTAAGAGGATTTAGCATTTCCAATTAATGTAGGCCTGTTAAATTCTTCTTCTTATTATTAGGCCTGTTATTATTATTAGGTTACTTTTATTATTAAATTACATGAAATTATTGCCCCGCAATAATTTCATAGCGCATCACCGCATGACGCGTTATGAGGATAATTAAAGTTTAGGCTATTAGCTTACTCCTCATTGAAAATGTTTTTAAAAAGTTTTTTTAAACAAGTCTAATAATTTATATAATGAATTATAGACCTATAATTAAAATTATTAACACTACAGTCATCAATGAAAATTAAGAGCAGCTTTATTTCGTGCACAGATTTTCAAAAACAACCTGTTTAACGCGAAATATGTTTCTTCTCATGTTTTTCACGATATGGGCCACAAGAGAAATATTAGGGAATAATTTAAGACAGTTATATACCGTTATCACCATATGCTGAAGTAGTTTAGTCTCTCAGAGAATATGCGTCGTTAATGCAGCGTTAGAAAGCTCTGTCAGTTTTTTTACTTTCACCGGCATAACTCTTGCGCACAGTTTGCGCATTGCGTGCTTGTGTTACTTGACCCCTCCCCCATAATATAACTAGTTAACAGGCCACATATTAGGCACTTTATTAAGTTTTTAATCGTTGTTTTTCAGTGTTAATGAAAGTGACACCAAAAAACAGGAACATTAGGAAATCCTTGTTGGGGGGGCTGTGCCGGGGCCCCAGCCTAGCATCCGCCTAGGATAGCCCTTTGTAATCCTAGTAACACTTCAGGGCCATGATAGTAGGTCACCTATCACTGAGTGATAGTCAGTTCAGTTCTCTGCAAGTGCCGCACAAGTCCTGAAAAGTGAAGCCAAAATGTTTCAATCACCCCCAGGTTGCTGGCTGCAGTACCGGTCAGAAACCTTAACCTCTCCATGTAAACAAATGGGACATGAGCCAAACTAAAAAATCAAGTTACACTTAAAATATTTTTATCCCAAAGATGGTTTCTGTCATTTTACATAGTTCTTATCGCACTGATGAATGTTCAAGGCAAGAGTCCTGCTCATCATTAAAAACTAATAAGATGGTCTAGTAAGTGCACAAGGCTACATCATAAATGTTTATGCCCTCATGGCAGGAAAATACTAGTGGAAGAGAGTAGAGATGTGTCATCAATCTATTATTATTATTTTTTTTACAGTCTATGGTTTTCTGTTCCAGTGTGTTAGCATTGCTATTGTATTAACAAGTGATCGTTTTCAGGGTAAATATTACAAATGTGATTTTTTTTTTATTAATTGCATGTTTTTATCAAAAGATCAAAGACAATATTAGATTTATTAAGCGGGCAGGCTATACTACACTATGCTGAGCAGATAAGAACATGGAATGTTTATTTTTACAATGTATGGCTTTGAATATTTAACATTATTAGTAATATTTAATTTATAATTTACATTAATTTACATAATTAAATTTAAGACTACATTTCATAAATATTTTAGCCATATTTAAGCCCATTTGTTCATGACACCAGTGTTAGTTACCCAGATGATATACAATATTGCCATGGACGACTGTACCAGAGGGGTTCTGACATATTAGTAAATGTTTGATCACCAAGCAGGATTTAAAACGGCGATGGGAGGCAAGCACACTGACAAGGACGCTAAAGACCGCAGCCTCTAGCATCAGTCGCTAGTGCATCCCTTAAGAACAGTGGAGTGAGGTTTACTCACACAGCTCTTACCAGCTGGCCTCCATTACAAATTGATGATCAGAATCAAGTATTCTAGTTGTGTAATAAAATGAATTGATGATATGTATACTTTGTATGCATACTTTGTAAATGATATGTATACTTTGAAAAAAAAAATCATCTTTACATCATCAGCATAGTACGCACTGACCTCGCAAATGCCTTGAATATTTTTTGCACTTAATTAGTTTGTCCACAATGCACTAACACTGACCCAGTCCACTATTTCAGATTTTAAACAGGAGGTGGAATGACAATAGGCACCTGCGTTGACGAGCGCTTGTGTGACTGGGTAAAAAGATACCCACAACTCAGTTTAAACAAATACAAAGACATTTTTTATTGGTCATAACGTCTGGAAAGAAATAGCACAGACACTTGACAAATATGAAATTTCCTACTGCATGTGTTAAATGCTGTGCATCCACACACTCTATCAAATGGAGTATACTTTGAAAGGATGTGCATTCAGCTGTACGCATCTGCATCAAACTTTTGCATCAAAACTGAAGTATACTTTGGGTTTTAGTATGGTAATTTGCATGACACCCTACCACAAACACGATACCCAAGTTTACATGTTAAGTGTTAAATGATAATCCTGAAATTAATTCAAATTGAAGTAATTCTACATATATTTGTATCAGCATAGTTAAAACGTTTCAAAGTGAATAGTGTTTTTACATTCAGGTGAACCACAGAGCGGAGAAGAAAAAGAGGAGAAGGTTGAGCCACTTGAGGAAACGGAAGAAGATACAACCCCTAGATCAGCTGTAATTGAAAACATCCAAAACAGTGGTCAAGAGTTTCTGACAATGCTGGTGGAAAATATCCTGAAAGGATCTTCTGCTGAGTCAAAAGACTTCAACATCGAAATGATACCAGAGAGTAACTGTGCTGTGGTGGCATTTTCCAATAGCAAGTGTAAGTCATGGGTTGTATCCCACAACACAATGTACTCTTCAGATGTGCATGCAAAATTCTAGCCTTTTACTAAGGTCTTAGTGGTGATCACCGTGCTCTTATTTCCTGTTACTTATATTTGATTCCACAGCTGCAGAACATTTCTTTGTATCCTATCCAAACAATGGAATAATTAAGAAGAAAAACATGAAAGTCCGATTGCTTGAGATGACTTCAAAAGTGAAAGCTGAAGGCTTACCTCCAAACTCAAACTCTGACTTAGTCATGCTGTATTTTGACAAATTTGGAGAAGTAGAGGATGACGGGGTAACATTTGAAACAGATCAGTCAGCAATAATAACTTTTACAAATCTTGAAGGTACATGAAGTAGTAGCATTTGATTTATTAGTTGAATTTCATTTTGACAAATGCATAAACTAAACAATGTGTGCTTTATCAGATGTGCAAGGAGTCCTCAAAGAGCA